ACATACATACATATACATACATATGCTGTTGAATTTAAGTCCTGGACACAAAGCAAGCGCATCTGCTATCTGAGGATTTGCGCACCTCCGCTCCCCTGCCCTATGTACAAAGGCTGTTCAGCTGAATGGGACAGTTCCGCACAAGCACCCACGGAACGTCCCAAGCTACCGCATCAGCAATGGCTTCGAAGGCCTGGTCACGCAGGCCGCAGCTCAAAGTGCAGAAACACAATTACCGCAAGAGGATTTGGGGGCATAGCTGCAGTTAAGGATTATGTGCACCTGGGCCACACTCTCATCCTGCGTAGCTCGTGGAGACCCCATGACCATCGATGCCCTATGGTTTGCAGTCGCCAGGAAAAGGTGGACTGTACCAGGCTTCATCGCGCCACCAAACCAAAATACTTCTCACACTGACACCAGAATTCCAATCCGTTCAATGGCACGTGGTAGCAATTGTCTGTCCTGTCTTCAAGGGCAGCCGAAGCCACATCTGCTACCGTTGGTGATGGGGAAGGAAAATGACAGAACCAAGGGTGAGAAAGCTGATGAGAGGATTTGAAGGTGCTGCTACTGCTACAGGACGTGAAATTGTTGCCTTTGCCGTCATTGTCTGCCGTCATCTACATCCATGATGCTGCGTTGTATATCACGTTGCTGATAGCACTGCCGATGTCTTCTGGGGAGAGCATTAGATACAGCATTGTAGTCGTCGTTGCGGGGGGTGCGGCTGCTTCGTGTTGATTCTGGCGCTGTTGCTGATGCTGCGTTTACGCCTTTGTCATTTGCGGAGCAGTGGGAGCGGCCGTGGTTTGAGTCATACTGGACGACGTCTGCGGCTCCAAAGCTTCACTTCCAAGCAAATTAGACCCTATGAGCCTGAACTCTGAACAGGCCTTATCTGGTGATCGCCAGGCGCTGTGCTTTTCTGAACTGCTTCCCAGCACCTGCGGCACCTGAACTGATGGCTTGGACAAATACGAGGCAGTCCCAGTCCCAGGCTTCATTCGTCATCTCTTTGCTTTCTTACATCTGGTACTATAGGCTGCTCCTCATGACTGCCCGCTACGATGTGCGACTGCTCAAGGGTACAATGGATGTTGACTCGTTCTCGCGCTGGTGTTCAACATACACCGCAGCGGCATACATATGATGGTAGGTATGTGCAGATAAACTCGCACGATGTGGCCACGCCTTCTTTGGCTTGAAGGTCAGATGGCTGTACAGCTCAGAGGGGACCACAGCGAACTACATTGAAAACACTATCTAGTGACTCTAGTGGTCGCCGCAAGCTAGCACGAGCAACACGCGGTGTTCCGGTGTTCCCATGCACACGTGACTGTCAAAATCCTGCAACTTCACTTCAGCACCGAGCGGCTCTCGATTTGCCCCTTGCGCTTTTCCCCGGCGCACTTCCCTGGCAGCGCAGTCGTACACGAGTCTCAGCCCCGGCTGGTACATGTGATTACATGTGCACCCAAGACGCGGCCAGTGGCAGGGCGACGGTCGAAGCCAACAACATCACACTTTGCAGGAGCTTCGGCACTCAGGGCGCACGCCGTCCTGCGGTCCGGGCTCCCTGCCTTGAGAGTAGCTCTCTGTGCCAGTTTTCGTCTCCTTCACAGCTTGGCCACTGAAGGTCCAGTGGTAGGTCCTGCCCGGTGAGGCGCATCAGACAGATTGCTGTGGCAGCATGGGATGAAAGAGTTTCCGAAACGGTGTAGACTTCATGTGGCGAAGGATCAGGTTTGCGGGTCCGAGGGGTCAGTGGCTGAGAACTTCCAGCTCCAAAACACAAATCTGAAGGCCGGGAGTTGGAGCTAGATGACATGAAGTGATATGGGTATATCAGTCCATGGACGGGCCGACAGTCTAGAAACCCAAGAAGCCTGGGACCTGCTATGCAAACATAAGCGAGCCGTGCGCCTCCGAGACTGGTGCCTCGTTGAATGGCGACCGGTGCTTTGCAGCTCCAGAAGGGCGACTAAAGGTGATCGCAATTTGTGTAGGCTGAGTCAATCTAAGTTTTTCAGCTTTGCGGCCAAAACCTTGGGAAGATTACAGACGGTGCGAATATCTCACGAGCAAACCTGCACCGCGATTGAACACGCAGCTGCAAGCACACTGTCGCTAACACCAACCTCGAAACGCAACCAACAGCTGCTCTAAAACACAATCCTGTCCTCTTCGCTTCTTCTCGGCTCCTGCGAACCAGTGAGACTTGACCCTAGTAGTCCCCGTGAGACATACCGTTACAGCTATCATCGGTTTCTTTGCTGTTCTGTGGACATGACGGTTATCGTTCTCTAAAACAGCAAAATGTGTACGCCATGTATTTTGCAACATGGGTCATCGTCTTTGGCATGATATGACCTACTGTAACATTGTGTACATGGTCCACCTACAGTAGGTGTGCTTTGGTGCCACAGGAAGACTGACAAGCATGTTACAATATCGAAAATTTGTTTTCCTGAAACAAACATACAGTGAAATAGAACCAGTCATATGCGATTGTATGCATATATACCTGAATGTGGATGTACCGAACTAGTGCAGCATGCCTGTTGTATATGGCAAGTATTTGCTCGTGCCTAATTATGGCATGTATGTTTGTATGTACGTGCGTATGTGTGTATGGGTCTGCTTGGCCTGCATATATGTATGAGTAGGCAGAGCAACAACATCACAATACATGCCCGAGTTTGGCGTCGTTGCCCGGTCTTCAACTGATGTCGAGGGACATATCACCTTTGCTCCATGCATGCATTAATGGTGTTGTGAAATTAAGTGCGCTGTCACAGTACCTACAGCAGGCTAGACTGCTAGACTCTATGTCGTGCAAAAACACTGTAGCATCTGGCGAACAGCCACCTCCGCTAGGGCCGGGGCAGGCAACGTATGTACAGCACTCACACACGCTGCGGGGGATGGCCGCTCCGTGGTGAACAAGCTTCAGATCTACAATCTACACGATGCACCCAACATGCAGCAACATGGTATGTTCATAGCCCAACTTTTCACAAGATGCAAACCCAAAGCCGTCAACTCAATTCGTCCTCCTGCGGCTGGATCTCGCCAGCTCGAGGTTTGAAGTGAACGTCAATGCCTTGCAATTTCGTCTCTGCACGTCAGCACCACGCAGCGGCATGCATGCATATGGGCGGGTCAAAACCTCTGGAGCATCATGAACATACGTTTTGCCACTCGCGGTACACTGCTTGCTCCGACGGTAGAGAGAGGGCAACACTCGAATCGCCAAGGTTGGTGTAAGCCTAGCCGCACGATGCATGTTAATACATCACGGGAACGATGCATGAATTTTTACCAGCGTAGCAAAATTGGCATAAAGAGTATGCTGTTCCAAAACATAGTTGACACATCTTGCCATATCGTAATGTAGCATTGTATCGTCGTTGTACTACTCCGGTGCTGCATGACACAATCATAAGAATGACTGTCATATGCTCGATGCTTACCTGGATATGGCGAAGCATACGTCCATAGCTCACTCCGTGCTGCGAATACTCACAGCAACAAACAAGAACTATGTAACCACATATGTGTATCTACGTGTACATATGAAAATGTGATAAAACGAGATGTGTGTGTGTGTGTGGACACAAATTGGCATGGGCACACACACACACACATACAAAAATAAACATATGCTTTAAACATATAAACAGACGGACGGACGGACGGACGGACGGACGGACGGACGGACAGACAGAAGACAGACAGACAGACAGACAGACAGACAGACAGACAGACAGACAGACAGACAGACAGACAGACAGACAGACAGACAGACAGACACAGCCAGGCGGGCAGGCAAGTAGAAAGGCAGACATATATACATACATACATACATA